TCACAAAGCCCTCTGATTGGACCAAGCACGTCCACGAAGACGTCCACCCCTTTACCTGCACGTTTTCTGAGTGCACCGAGCCAAAATCCTTCAAGCGCAAGGCTGATTGGGTTCGCCATGAGAATGAACGCCACAGACATCTCGAATGGTGGACATGCAACACACCCGATTGTACACATACCTGTTACCGTAAGGATAACTTCGTTCAGCACTTGGTTCGTGAACACAAGATGGCAGAGCCCAAGATCAAAGCACAGAAAGCAGCCGCAAAAGCCGCCGGAAGGTCGACGGGGAAGAAGGGAAAGGCGGCCAAGGCCGTCGCGGGAGCGGATGGGGCGCCGACACAGGAAGATTTTGATAAGGTGTGGCAGATTGTTGACGACTGTCACCAGCAGACATCAAAGCTCCCAACGGAAGAAAAATGCAGGTTCTGTGGGGTGACCTGTGCCACATGGAAGAAATTGACCGTGCACTTGGCTAGACACATGGAGCAAATCTCACTCCCGGTCCTGGATCTGATTACGGATGATGCCGTGGTGCCGCCGAGCACAAGGGGCTCCAGTAAGCAGGCGCCCGCTAGAAGCGCAAATACTGCCCCAGTCGCGCCGATGCCGAAGGCTCAGCATCTATCAACCGATATGGATATCGACTCTATCGGTGGTGGAGACGCATCAGGTCAACGACATCATACAGTGGATGTGCAATACGAGGATGACATCCAATATACGGGCAGGAATACAAATTATGGTTCACATCACACCCCTCCGCGAAGCTCGCCGCACATACCAATGGACAATCATTTCAACATGTCGACACCCCCACAAGGCGGTCCTCAGTACTCCACACCCGGAAGTCTGGGGTTCGGTCCGGATAGTATCCAAAACATGCAAAATGTCTCAGGACTACATCCCATGCTCAATCAATTCGAGTACGCCGGGAACGATATGTATCCTAGTCCTTCGTCCATGACAGGAGCACGCGCACCGTCGATCAATAGCGGATATTCACCGTCTCCAACATATTCACAGCGCCCACCACCGCACAGCCCAGCGAGTCAGCGAATGGGCCCTGTAATGTCGGGACAGCAACACCTACAGGTGCAGCAGCAGCAGCAGCAGCCACAACAGAGTTACTTTGCCTATGGGCATGCTTCTGGACAGCTCCCCGCAAATCCCGGGCTCGGAGTTGGGCAAATGCATACTCAGACGGTGGCTACAGCGAATAGCTTGATCGAGAATCACGGGCAATACGGGTATTACCCCGGTGGGGAAATCCCAATGGCCTTGATGGGGGTAGCTATGGCACCTTTGGATAACGAGGATTACGGTTTTATCCACTGAGGTGGGTATATCTCTGCGTGAACCGTAACCCTAAAAACTGTTCTAGATTTGAGGTGTTTTTGGTTTTCGTTTACTTGATATCTTTTCTTCGTGCTGGTTATCGATTTCCTTTTAAGGGGTCTATGAAGGGATGGACTTTTTCGTTTCTTTCTTTGCATTTTCTATTTGTTCTTGTCCTATATTTGGATTGGGTGATATCATGTCGAGTCCTCGCCCAGAGATCTTAATGATCAAGCTAGGAGAAAGGTTGGCTGGATAAAACAGAGGGCGGTGCTTTATCGATTAGGAAAGCTTTGGTGATAAGAGTGCAGCATGTGCCCAGTCTGTAGATCGATCGATCTGTTTCCGCACCTCCCCTCCATTTCATATCGTTTGTCTTATTGTGCTCGTTAGCGTCAATCCCTTGCCTTTCCTTGGTTTTTTTTTTTTACGATGCCTTATGAAGGGGTATTGGATCTGGATTTTGCAGGAGTTCTTTTCTTTAATTTTATATTATGACGTGCTTACATCTGAGACTCCCTCTCGGCTCGCCATGAATAATACTGCTTGAAGTTGAAGTTACTCGGCCATCCGTCCTTCTTATGAGCACTTACCCATTAGTTTCTCTAAACTGCGTGGAGCCGTAATTCGACTTTGAAGTTAAGGGGACCGTGCAAGAGCCAATGTATGTACATGTATGTACATACATGTACACATCTGTGCTCAAGCTTAGACCGTAGCGGCTATCCGCTAGCTAGGACCTCTTCGTACATGGGGAAATTTTTTTCCATTGAGACACGATAACTAGAGTAGATGATGGGCGACAATAGCTAGACCATGGGGCTACTCCATTGAAGGCTACATGCAGATGCACTGAGAACAAAATTTGGTTAGTGACTGGTCGCAATTATCACAGGGGGTGCAGGATGCCGTTGTACCTGGGCAGACCATGCTGCTAGAAATGATGATGATGATGACAGTAAATTTATAGGGATGTTGTAGTGGTAGTTGTGATGATAATGGTGTCGATGATGATGGCGATGATGTGTCGCTCGTGTTTACTTCTTTGAGGAAACGATCAGAGTCATGAAAGAGCACTCGTCCAAGCTCCATCGTACATGAATCGACGGCAAAGGTCCAGAACTGAATCGAATGTGTGCAAAACGCAACCACTCTCAGCTTGCGTACCTACATGACGAAAAAATAATATCGAGCAGGTGTTTCCTACCGTGATTTAAGAACACGGTTACCTCAAGCAACGTCATCATCATTCCAGCTATGTTTTCTCCACATCCATCATCCAACTCACTGAAAACCTTTTCTAGATAAACACTCGCCTTATATCTAGCTATTAAGTGAGATTAGTTCATCACAAACGAGCTTCCAGCTGGCATCAGCAAGTGTGTGTCCATCACCAGCTTAGCAAAAAGATATCAACGCTCCATGGAATACAAGCTGATATGCTAGAGACCAAATTCATTTCGCTGCTATTCCCAGGGTCAATCTGAATCTTTATGACAATTTTAAAGGAGGGGATTGGAGGATGTGTTGAACTCAAACCGTATGTTCTTTCCCGGAAGGCTACTGCACTAACGACCGAGTGAGAAAGCATGCAATTGGCCCTATCTCGACACGAGAGTATCGAACATCTTGCCCACTCAGATAACACCTGATCTTAAGAGTGTCCGAGGCCAGATATTTTCTATTTTGGAAACCTCATCCGCGGAATGCCTGAATACGCATCCCGCATGCCCAAACCTGACTACTCCATAACTCCCAGTCATGCTTACTGGGTAGATTGGAAATCAAGTTACCCTAACCCTGGAGGAAAGGTTACATCGAGTGCCGATAATGATCCCTGCTCGGAGTCTGAACAAACCATGTAATCAGCTGGCTAATCCTACAAATATGATTGTGATATTCCAGCTGATCAATTCTAGACTTGGGGAATTAGGTATGATAGCCGCCGAAATGTCGAACACACCCCCATATGGACCGGTTACCTCCGGCGGTTAACTAGATCTAGAGGCGGCCATCCTGATCATGCGTTGCGGTGGCTTTTTCTCGTGACAACAGGGGATATGTAGTTTAGTAGATACTGAAAACCGAAAAGAAATAACCTGGAATATGTGAAGAGTGAAGGGGAAAGGGCACAAGGTGGTTGGTGAGTATTCAACAGAAAAAGTCAGTGCTTTTGTATCTGTCTGATTAATGTAGTGGTTGAACGCAGCACAACACATATGTGCGCAATAGGTTCTTTTTGATCCATCCAACAGGCTGTTTCCAAGCATTCCGTTTCTCTTCCTGCGCACCTCCACACTGGAGTGGACCTGCCCTGCTAGAATCAAACAAATTTTATTTGGGGGTGCTCGGGTCTTTATGGGACGGGAGGGCGGGTCAAGGAAGGGGAATTTTTTTTTTTTTTTTTTTTTTTGATTTGCAAGGCGAGCCAGGCGGAAGAGAGGTACGCATAGGTGCGACGTTGGGATATTTCCTGAGACTGCTGCCTTGCCAGGGCGTCCAATGGTTTTGCGACTATGGGCTGCGTCAACTCTGAGTGTGCATGCGCCCACGCCGAGAGCTTGATCCCACCGCATGGGGGTAGTAATCGCGGGACCAAGACAGCACTCTATGAAGGAGACCCTTCTTGGGGTTAACGATATACCTATTTCTCACCCTTCTCTTACACTCACCTTACCAGCCTACCTATCTACTACCCTAACCACTTACCTGGTTTGAACTTGAACTGGACTGGGGGGGCGGCGACGACGTATGATAAAATACAAACCACACCTACCTACCGTACAAGTTTCTTTGCAGCCGAGACTTACTACCGAACAGTCAGTTAATATTATATTCTTTAAAAGCGCTTTCCATTAGGGGAGAGAGTAATGTACGTAGGTAGATCGGTGGTATAGTTATCTACGGTCTACGGACATGATCTTTGTAGAATCACCCCGAGCCGTCCCTTGATCTGAGCTTGCAAGACAGAAGACAGAGAGCCTTCTTTCACAACCACCCCCCCCCCCCCCCCCTCACCTTCACCCACAACCCCCCTCCTTTCGTCACTTCGCGCTTCCCCTCGCGCAGTATCGGCTTTGCCCCCCGCCGCCGCTCCGCCGTCGCGTTAAGGTTCCCCGCTTGTAAGTTCCCTCTACTTGGCTTTGTGTGTTAATATTGAAACAGGGAGAGTGCTGACCACACTGATCGTGCGCAACGGATTTAGGGGACTAGCTCCAAACCGAACTCTCCCTCCCCAAACGTACTCCCACCAAGGATTTACTTAGCGAACTTCCACCATCGAGTCTTAGATATCAACACCTAGGGCTATTTAAATCTATACAGCAAGTAAGGTAAGCAAGTGTTCAATTATAATTGGTTATCACTACATTCATAAAGTTGCAGTGTGGCTTTTCTTACCCGTTTATCGACATTTCCTTGTGTTCGTTTTTGATTTCAATATTGATGTCACGTCCAATCTATTTTCAATCTTGCGCACGCAGCAGAAACTATCGACTTGCTTCTTCTCTTTCTGTCCCACTCTTTCCATTCGTTCCCACCTCTGTGTTCATTTAATGTTCTCCCTTTCATATTCCCAAACTCAAGATGCCCCATGGCTAACTGCTGTTACAGTGAGGTGCCTAATATTGTATGCATTATTAAAATAGCACAACATCAACTATGCCGCCTCATTATCCTGTGGAGAACAGGATGGAGCGAGATAATTTCAACATGCCTGTGTCGCCGGTGGGCTATTACCCACACTACCATCGTCGACCAGAGCACAACATACTCCCCTCAATCGAATCCATATTTGGGTATGAACTCGGCCGCCCCGGCGGCCCAATACCCCCACCAACTACTCCTAGCGGATTGAGTCCTCCGCCGCACTCTGGCTACTCGCCCGAGTCCCCCACTGCCATGAGGGCACCAGGAGGAGCCCCTGCAATGTCGCAGTATCTATCAGATCATAAGAACGACCCGTGGGGGACATACAAGCAGGGTCATCCTCCATCGGTACAATATCCAGGGACCCACAACCACCACCAAACCATCGAATATCAGCAGCAGTCTTCACAACGCTCACCAAGTAATAATGGCGAATTCCCAGACTATAGCCGCCGCGCGGCCAGTTGGGATAGTGAATATATTGACCGCAATAGGTCTTTGGACCGTTCTACACAGCCTATCAGCCCGACAACAGAGACGAGTAATTTTGAATCCGGAACAGAGATATACTCGGAGGACCCGGGAGAAATGTCGGAGATCAATAGTGGGATGGGTGATACGCAGAGTCAGGCGGGGAGTACAGTTTCAGGGTTGCATATGAGGCAGTTTTCTTGCAAGACATGCAAATCCACGTTTAAATGCGATTCATTACGACGGTAAGAGCAAACAGCCCGTCTGTTAAGTCAATTAGAAAAAGAAATCATGGAGAAAGAAAGAATCACTGGGAGGAAGAAAAAAAGCATAAAAAGCCCCCCCCCCCTCCCTTCCCCACCCAGAAAAGAGTAGACTAGATGTAGCTCAATCAGGTGTATGCGATCTTTTTTGCGCACTGTTGAGATTTTCATGCCTACTTCAATGGGGCAGGGCTGCATCTAGTCTAACTGCACATAGAAAAAACACAAGAAATGGAGAGGAAAGCAATAAATAAATGAGTGGCAGTACATAGCTGATTCTGCGTCTTTCCGGGCTATTGGCCTTTTCCCCGTCGGCTGGTCTTGAAGGAAACATGAGATGAAGCATACAAAACCATTCAAGTGTCAATTTCCGGATTGCAAGCGGAAAGGTCAGGGCTTTACGTCAATGAACGACCGAGATCGACACATGAATTCCGTCCATAAGAGACACCTCAGCCGACCAGCTGTGGGATACGATTGTTGCTATGATCATTGCCGTGACAATGGAAAGATTTTCTGGAGATTGGATAATTTCAGGAATCACTTGAAGAAAAAACATGATCCAAAAGGCTCAAAAGATGCGATGGAGGATTTCTTAAAGAGGTATGTGATTTACACGTTCTTTCATTACTTCCTTTAAATTTTGCACTCCAAATATCGTCCCAGAGAGAAGTACGTACGAATTGGATTCAACATCAATCAACGGCCGAGTAGCTATAAACTCATATCTTTTGCTGGGGTTGATGTTGATTCCACTTGGTATTGCCTTTTATTTTGGCACTTTATGCGCTAGATTTGAAATCATCCCCGCGTCCTTGATATGCGTAGTTACGGAACGAAAAATCGTTCTGTAATTTACCTATTCTTATCTTTTGTTTTCCATTTTCAAGGGCGGAAGCGGAATGCCGTCGGATCCAACCCGCTGGAGGGGATGGTTCCTCTATGGCCATCTCCATAGATACCCGGTCCGAGCCGGAATGCTCCAGTAATCGCACAATGGAAAGCCCCGGTCCCGCCATGTCCATAGATTTTGCACGGCCAACCCGAAGAACTCGACCTCTGCCACAGGTTCCTCCTTTCAACAATTCTGGGGCGTGGGAATCTGCATCTGAATCTGGAATGGCACAGGCGCCAATATCACCGGTTTCAAGAGGGCCTCATCCTGATGTTGGATCTGATTCCGGTGACCGGATGGAGATTGATGAGATACCGGCGGCCACCTCCCAGCCTATGGACGAGGAGCCTTTGTTGGATACTACTAGGATCAATGGCAACCACTATCATGGTCACCCGGTTCCTAATGTGCCCCCAGAGAGACAGGACCAAGGTAGGGAGAGCTACGCTAAATCCGAAGCCAGACGTAAAAGACACCAACAACTGGAGGAAATGCATGAGAAGATTAAAGAAGTTCGCATATTGCTTGCTGAATATAACGAACTGTGCAATGAAGATCTAGAAGATCAATGGGGCATTGGGAATAGATATGAGCTCATTGCTATTCCATTTTCTGCCAGTGATGACTCGGACAATACCATACCTTACCATGGGACCCATTATGAATCTTCTCCTCAAAATATCAGTCTAGGAAGGTTCCTCACACAGGATCCGGCGGAGGAGTCGCCGATGTCTAGGCTTTTATCATCTGGCGGGACAGCATCGACGCCGTCTTCAACAACGGCCCAGGCTGATACTCGACAATTAGTTTCTCCACCTATATCAGTTGCATCACCGCCCCATGCAGCAGCAACAGCAGGGGAGGTTCATCCTCAACATCCACACCACCAACAACAGCAACAGGGGCAGCATAACCCTATTGTGATACCGGATGATGAGCCAATGAATCCACCAGTACGGTCTCCTAAGGTAGCGCAGCGTGGCTCAATTTCACAGAAGAATGGGCCTCCTGGTGGTACTCAATCTACACATACGTTACTTCCGCAAAACGGAAAAAGCACAGTTTGTCCAGAATGTGATAAGGTATTTGCAATGCCTAGCAAACTCAAGTAAGTGCTCCCAGCTTTGATTTCCCCACTATCCGACTGGTGTGCATAAAGGTAAGGAAATGAAAAATCTAACAGATAATTGTGATTTTGCTGAGCAGGAAACATATGAAACGACACTCTCGTCCATACGCTTGTACCTTCCGTGGTTGTGGGAAACTTTTTGGTAGTAAGAACGACTGGAAACGTCATGAGAATAGTCAACATTTTCAACTAGAGCTATGGAAATGTGGGGTGCTCCCCCCCAATACAGGCGCTCTATGCGGGAAGCTTTCGTTCCGACGAGAATCGCACACTACCCATTTGCGTAGCGTTCATGGTATCACCGATAAGAATGAAATCGCAGCCAAAACTAACGAGGCGCACATTGGGAGGAATAACTTCAAAACCTTCTGGTGTGGGTTCTGCCCGACATTTCCAGACCAACCAGAACCTAGAGGTCTGGTTGTGCAACTTGAGAAGAAAGGGCTCGGTGGATGGGACGAGAGATTTGATCACTTGGGCAAGCATTTTATCGATGAAGGTCTGAAGATCGGTAAATACAAATTTCATGACGACGACGACCAATATGGCCCCTCTCACGATAGCGGCTCAGAGGACGAGGAGGAGGAAGAGATGACAGTGGGCGAAGCGTCGGTAGTGAGGAACCGATCGCAGCCACCTGGGGGAGATGAGGTACTGGATGATTATGGCCCAACTAATGTAAAGAAGCTCGTTGCGTGTACGGCGCCAGACGGGGAAAAGATGGGCATCGAAATGGCAAAAGAGGAGCTTGGCGACCCTGCCACCAAAACTCAAATGCAACAAAAACCAAAGTCTAGCAGTAGATCCATGAACTGGTATTGTGTATGGATTCCTCGTTCCCATCATTAACCAATATTATCCCACAGTGTAGTACTAATTTATGGCCTTACCATTATAGTGTCAGCCTTGTTCAGATGGTCCTTACGTAGTAGGTCTTCAAGAATCTTGCGTCTCATGCGAACATCAGATATGTCCCAAATGTCACCGGGAGCGAGCTGGGGAGGAGGTAGAGTGAGTTGACCAATTGGTGATTCGTGTACAATGATTGTGTATTTTTGGTCCTGTCTTTCATCTTTTTAAATTTCTTTTGTAGGGGGGTTTTGGAGTTGGTACGGTTTGAGTAAAAAATCTAAACGGAGGAGTAAGGGGTGAGAGGTGGATCTGAAACGAAAAACCACATTTAATTGAGTTGTTGAGTTGGGTTGAACCCTGGACAATGGGAGACCATGCATGAAGCCTTTCCTTTTTTTTTTTTTTTTGTAAAATTTATATATTGGGGAAGAAAAAGTGATATGTTGGCCGGGGAACGAAAGATAAGGTGGGGGGTGGGACAAGGGTGTAGGGAGAGGGGTTTGAACATAGCCGCGGGAGATCGCCATCATAGGCAGATGGGCCCTTTGCCTGACGTCATGTTCATGCATGTACCTATAATATTGGGAGCGAAATCGCGATCGAACGTTTTCAGGCGTTCTGGCGAACCGAAAGACTAAGGTTCACAGCCTATCACTCGGAGAGTCCTTACCTGGTACACTCACTCACGGGGTGAAGGCGGATCCTGTCTGATGGCGGTCAGGGATTTGAGGCCAATAACAGAGTTAACTTCGAGACGCCAAGGCTAAACTGCTGCAAGCATGACCATCAGACAGGATCCGCCGTCACTAGGTGAGCGAGTGTACTTGTGGGAGAAACGTTCCCAAATTAAGCAGCATACCTTCTGGGAGGGAAGCTGATATAGAAATTGTGCGCACATATGACTGAGGGTGCCAGCACGTACTTAAGATCACTAAATAAGGTCATAGTAGCCGGTGCTCTACTGGCAAACTCGGGTTTGTGCAATAACAACAAAAACGTGGATACCCGTGTGTAGAGAACGGCTTGAATGTATATAGTACCCTCCAAGATATTATAAAGTCTATGGATACAACTAAGCAGGCCAAGCTGCAGGCCATTTCGGAAACGCGGGTATTGCCTGAAACGAGTACAGGATATGAGCCTTGTGACAGTAACTTCTGTGATTGTGAAGTACAAAGGGAACATCCAACAAGCCATTGATTTCTGTAACCAATTCCATCGAGTGGGGATGGGGGGAAGGTGTAATTTCTACCTATGTAAAAGACTGCGTTCACACCTACTGGCATCGATCTAGCATATCTGTTGGATCATTCATTGGCGTCTGTAGCGTGGCGGCTCAAGTACCAGTGCCAATACATACTCAGTGTATCGGCCTGCTAGCATTGGCTGGCTGGTGCCGGGGGATTTCGTAGAGTAGCTCGCGCGGGCCGAGTAAAAGACACGCCAGGCGCATCTTTCTTTCCGGGTTTCAATTAGGTAGTTTGCCGTAGGAATTGATGGGTAGTTGTTGTTGTTGTTGTTGTTGTTGTTGTTGTTATTGTTGTTGTTGTTGACTCAGTCATGATCAAGGGTTGCATATTGGTTGCGTTGGGGGGTTTCTCTGTAGGTATGGCGCGAGAAGGCATAGGGGGTGGGTGTGTCAACTTCAGAGGAACCTTTTTTGTATGGGAATTAGAGAAAATTCCACCGTTAGGCTAGGCGCTAGTACCATTATGGGAGTAGATCTCCCAATTTCTATAGATCTAGATTGATTGGCTACAAACGCCGAAGTTTACACACCTACCCACCATAGCTTCTCGAGCCATACGTGTTCTAGACAACATGCTCTAGATGCATTGTAGTTGCTCGCCAACTGCTTGCTTGGTCTCTGCTGCGACGCTTAGTTAGTAACGGAGCTAAAACGGAGATAAGGTGATCAGTTGGAATACTATGTCTAAATATCGTATGATCAGCCGTGCGGCCATACGTGTGTGGACTAGGCACATTCTGCCCGCATCTTACAAAGGATTGTGTGTATGGGCGTGCACCTCTCGGGCCGAGAGCCTCAAGCCTCCCACGTAGGAGCCGTAACGGTATTTCCACATCCAACCTCCCGGAGACAGTTCACAACTCGATACCCTTCGGTATCCTGACTCTTAGCTGCCTACATATATGAAAGTGGCCAGCTACATTGCCCACGCGGTACGGTTTAGCAAACCAAACTACGACCTGATCACACGCAAGGCTGCAAAATCTACAGATCAGCAGAGGCCAACCAAACACCTTCAGCTAGCTGCTCATCCCAAAGATCGACTTTCCAGTTGTCCAGCTCTGCGTTTCGATTCCAAGCAATAGATCAATGTGTAACTCAAACTCAATTGGGAATTTCTGCAGACTCCGTCATTTGCGACCTCGCTCACTCTTCCAATTGCAAGCTAACCGCCGACCTTTGGCTCTGATGTCTCTGTGAAACCTCGCCAGTCATATGGAAGCTATATGCAACGCTAGTTGATAGGTCTCGGTACTACATGTATGATGTAGGCATATATACCTTACCTACGTGATTAAGTGCATCAATGTGTTCCAATGGTTGAGATGAGACAGGGTTACCCAGTGAACCCTAACCCTGGACAATGTCTCGAACAGACATGTATGGTGCGCCCACTCTTAAAGGTAGCGGATCGCGACGAAATATCAATGGCTGATAACTTTGCAACGAAAAATGGTAAAAAAAAAGCGTAATGATAGAACTCTAGTACTAGTGATGAAGTTTAGTTCTATCATTACAGATTGTTGATATCTGTCTGGGTTGTAAAGTTATCAGAGGTTGAAATTGTGTATTTTTGTATGTAAAAAGCGCTAAGATTGAGTAAAGTGGAACAGTATTATATCCATTTATACCTTAAAAGTGAAAAAGTGGCCCTCTCGTTGTCCTTGGAGTTCACGATTGTTCCACTTCCAGATACCGCTGTCACCTTTAAGAGTGTGCGCACCATACTTAATAATCCTCTGGTCTAGAGTAGCTGCCAGTATTATAGTGAGTCCAGAGTAACTAAACCCAACACGCGCCTTGAGACCTAATGTCACGAGGGCGTCATGCCACGTGTCCTTGGCCCGGAGTAGATAGGGCGATCTTATATTTAAGACTTGAGGGCCTACTGTCCCCAGCTAATAGTTACTATCAAATTACAAAGCGAAGCCATGAATATCCAAACCTCCACAGACGCCCAGTTGGATGATAACATCGGCCTCAAAATCGCCATCGAGGAGGCTAAAAAGAGTCTCACTGAGAATGGTGTTCCAGTATGTGCCGCTAGTCAAGCAAACAATTGAGAGGAAGCTGACATCGGAAACATGTTGGCGCAGCGTTAATTTCTTCCACGGGGGAGGTGTTGGCTCGTTCTCATAACCTGGCGTGGCAGAAGATGTCCCCTATATTCCATGTAATACTGCTGTTGCAACCCCTCCGGATGATCATGTTTGAAGCTCACGTCGTTTCGACAGGCCGAGATGGCAACCTTTGACGCTGCAGGGCACGTTTCGAAGGCAGTCTATCGTCTTGCAACGTTATATACGACGCTGACGCCCTGCGACATGTGTACCGGAGCGATTCTATGGTTTGGTGTGGGGAGGGTTGTAATGGGAGAGGCAAAGTCTGTTGGTGGCGGAGGTCATGATATATTGAGGAGTCGAGGGGTGGAAGTGATGGACATGGACAGCGAGGAGTGCTATGAGATGCTGCAGAAGTTTATGAAGGATCATCCAGATAGGTGGAAAAATCCTTCCAAAATTGCTTGCAATTGATAGGGAAGATACCGCTGGTTATTGGGTTATATACATGTATACCTATCTATCCCATGTATTGTACACAGTACATGGCGCTAAATACTACATGTACCTACATTACAGCCTTGGAATGATTTGCCGCGGAGAGGAGTAGTTGGTATCGGTATCGGGATATAGTGACATAATATTCCCTAGTAGAGAGATCTCGGCGTATGGCAACGAGTTCCAATCCTTGATGGGCACTAAACTATCTAAAAGAATCTTGGCATAAAATAACTGCATGGCTTATCACTCGGCTTCTCCCGCTAGTCCTTTTTCCACCCTTGGCACAATGATTGATTCGTGTATCCACCCTTGGCCAAAGACATCTACTACAAACATATGCCTACATGTAATTACAAGAGGCTCCTATCTGTCCTACTGAATCTTGACCCATCCTCAGCTGTGCCGTAGCTTATACGACAGCTTCCAATGCTCATAGAAGGGCTGGGTTTCCACCGTAAACCATCCATCCGTATACCGAGCAAACTTATCATCCCACCGGTTGGGATTGGAACTTCGATGCCCATCTTTGACAAGATGTCTCGCCTGTTTAGCTCCCACCGAAACCAGATGGGCTATTATTTTTGTGATGCCGAAATAAGTATCGCCTGGATACCACTCAGTATAGGTTAGTCTTCTAATGATTCCTCTTTTCGGGTGCGTGCAAAAAATACTCACGGCTCATGCCCTCGTCGCCAAAAACTACAAAGGTCAGTTTGTAAGGCTCCAGGAGTAAGCGGGAAAGTTAGCTTTGAACTCACCAGTGTCATCATCTCTGAACCTCAGACCAAACGCCACGCCCCTCTCACTCGCAGCATCCCGCTCGTCACGAGTGAAGTAGTCTGCGAGGGTCTCTAGGTACGAACGCCTGATCTGCTCACCACTTGTCAACGCCCAGTCAAGAGAAGTGATACGTTCATCACTGATCGTATTGGGATCCACGCCAAGCTCAAGGAGGTACTTGACACATTCAAACTTTCCTAGTTTGATGGCCGCAGAGAGAGCAGTACACTCTGTACCCCACACTCGTGTTACCGAGGAAGTGGCCATCTGGAGCTTCTCGGCATTGCTATAGCCCTCTAGGAGTCGTTTAAGCAGATAGGTTGTCTCGGCGTCCGTGAGGATTGGGTTGAAGGAGAGGATAAAGAGGAAGTCTATGTCCGCTTCTGTATCGTAATGAACACGTGCGCCATATTGGAGTAAGATTTCCGAACGCTCAACAGCTTCCCCCGGGTACCTGCCCGAGATTGCGAGTAGTAATGGAGTGGCCCCTTGTTTATCAAGAGCGTTAATATCTGCCGGCGGATCATGAGTGACTAAAAATCGGATCCTCTCTTCGAATCCAGATTTTTTCAGGGTTTGGATGGCTCTAACAACATAATGAAGAATCGTCTCCTCCAGGAATCCGGCCTTTATATTGATGTCTTCTATGCGGCCTACTAGCTTTTGAAAGATTGCCAGGAAGCCTTGCGGGTATGCTAAGGACTTATCGTCAACGCCCGCCCAGAGATGTACAGGGAGTTGATGACTAGAATCCTCGCAATTTACATTGGCACCCGCTTCTAATAATGCCAGAGCAACCACACAGTTCTCAGCGATCGAGGCCTCTAAGAAAGGTGTACGCCCCAGTTTCCCACCCCGACCAGGTCTTCGGCGATCCAGATCGCAGCCAGCTCTGAGGAGTGCGAGGACGCATTCCCGGACCTTGGCAAGATGATTTTCATAAATGCCATTATAGATCCAGGCATCAAAGCCCTCCCAGAATTTATAAAGCCGGTTACAATCCATGTAAGTCAAGGCCATTGTATGGAACGCATTGTGTCCCTGATCGCTGACTGCAGTTGCGCTTGCTCCCTTGTTGAGGAGGTATTGGACGATTTTGCTGTCACCTCGTCGCGCTGCCATAGCTAGTGCTGTCTGCGCAGCACGGTCGATTTGGGAGTCGCGAGCGTTGATATCAGCGCCAAGCTTGAGGAGAGAGTCAATAGCGGTAGTACAGCGTGTTGAAGCTGCCCAATGGAGAGGTGTGCCAAAAGGCCAGTGAAATGGGAAGTGTATGAAGGGTGGATGTTCTTCTGTTGCCCCAACCTTCTCGCACGCAACAATGGCCCCGACGTCAGCTTTACCTTTGGATACGAGGAGTTGTGCCATTTTATCTATATGCTGCTCCTCGAAGTTGAAGAGCCAATGCAACGGCGATACTTGATATTGTGTAGAGGCAATAGATGCATCCGCCCCCAACGAAATAAGCATTTCCACGGCCGCATGATGACCGGCGAGACAGGCTTTATGTAGTGGTGTTTCCCCTCTATCGTTTTGGGAATTCACAGCAGCTCTACGCTCCTCCACAAGATACTTGATGGCCTCTGGTTTGTCAAACATGGCTGCAAAATGTAGCACCTTATTTCCATTGAGGTCCTGCAATGATTCTACTCCACCTTCGCACGTTAACCGCGCCATGTCGATATCCAAACTCGAAAACTGATGCGCAGTTTGATGCGAGGCCTCGGCGTTATAGCCTCCCGCTTTACGGAATGCCACTTGAGCCTTGAGGAGAAGGGCTGGGTTGAGCTCTGTGAGATCCTCTGCAGCAACAAATGACCCAGTGGAAACGGAATTATAGAGCCAAGTTTCCAGTAGCTGTTCGTCGGCAATGGCACTAATAGAAAGTCCCTGTGCCTCATAAAGTCTCTTTATGATGGCTTGGGCTGGAATACACGATCCTTTCGCTGCTTCACTCATATATTCTATAAAGCGTTCAAATCCGAAACTTCGCTCTGGTACCGAGAACATGGACGATATGGCCATCCCAAAGAGCGTCTCGCCGGGAAATCGTGGGCTGATGTTCTTTTTGGTGTCTTGGTAATCCTTTCGAAGTTGCCTTAAAGCCAGGGGTTGGACTCCTATCCAGTAAAGGATGCCCTTATTGGTCTCATTTGTTTTCCTTCCACTAATCTGTGTACGGTTTCTGTTTTGTTTTGTGGTCGTTTCTCTTGTAGCGATCCTGTGGTGAAATCAGACGGATGAATAGAATATTAGAGGTGGAATGGAAGCCTATACCAATCGTTATATCCCTTGCTATCGTCCGCTAATAGTTTATAGCTAATATCCACCCGGTCTTGCGGCTTCATCTCAAGCATTGCTCTACACAGACTCAATAATTTACTTCGTAAGGATTTCGGAAATGTCCGGTCTTCATGTCCCCAGATTAAACTCGTGGCCTTCTCACACGGCGATTCCTCGTTTTCCTGCCCCTCGGATTGTTCGAATTGAAATGGTGGCTGCCCACGGTTCAGTAGAATGGAAAGCACTACAAGACAATACGAGAACCCGTCGCACCTAAAAAGTAGTTCCGGTGAGAAATCCCCATGTATATCTTTATCATACACACCCGCTTCTGGCGGCGCCCACCCAGGGGTCCCTCGATATGAAGCAAAACTCAAACTAGCACGACTTTCCATCGAGATACAGACCCCGAAATCGCTCAACTTGCTCAGGTATGGCACCCTTAGATTATCCTGCCGAAATACAAGCACATTGTCCGGCTTAACATCACCATGAACGATCCCTTCGTTATGCAGCGCCTCTAGGCCATCTGCAATATCGAGGCACATGTGATGTCTAATATTCATCTCGCGATTCCCTGATACAGATCCCATGTTATCTCCTTGCAAGAAGTTAGACAGTGAAGTTAACGCCTTCTCCATGAACAACACTGGAAGCAGTAGTTCAGGTGTTTGATGGTCATAGCCCCAAAATATCAAATTGACAATATTACGATGCTCTCGCAGCGGCGGATGGCAGAGTGCCAGTATCTCCAACTCCAGAGTGCGGAAATAGGCAAAGGTCTGCTGGGACTTCGATAGGCTTGCCGGTGCGTTGTAGTGATTGACCCGCTTCAAGACAAAATCATCATGGATACCGTCCACGAACACTGTAAATTGAGCTCCTTTGCCGATGACAGTTCCCACTCGGTCTAAGTTTCCGCCAACTAGATGTTTAGGTCCGTCGACACCCATCTCTGCGAGTATAGAGGTGAGATCGGAGAGTGTGGTCATGAACCGGTGCGAGTTACCGTTCCGGGTTGAGAGAATGGCCATATCGAGGATACTGCTGTTGGGTGTATGGCGCCCGCCATCGAAACTAGTGCTGGAGGAGGTGTAGGTATCGGAGATCACGAACCAATCTTCTTCTCCTCCTCCTCCTCCTCCTCCTCCTCCTCGTCTTTGCCCTCCCTTTGGGGACGAGCGGGGAAGATCATTAGGACCGTTCTGGTTTACGGACGGATGTTTAGTTGTGAGGTTTCCGAGAAATCTTAAGAAATTAACAGATATCTTCTCACCAAAGTTAAGCTTCTATCCACAACATTGAACCAGTCAGGCTCATCATCGCCCCCAACTGGTGATGTGTCGGTGGTGGCCTCATGAATGAGATTCTCAGCAGAGTTCTCAATTGAGGCATTAAGTTGATATTGATCATCGTCAGTCTCGAATATCAGGGGGAAACATTCGACATTTGTGTCACCAAGGTCTTCCGGCATTGATTAAGTCTCTTTTTTTTTGGCTATGGTACCTCGATGCCGTGGGTTTTAGAGTTTTTTGTGGGTTAACTGATCTTCCCCGCGATGAATACATACATATTATCCACTCACGCGTGGGGGTAGCGTATGTATGTACGTGTAGGTACATACGTACAGCACTCTACTGCGGCCACTCTAACTAGGTAGAGGGTGAGTCAATGAGGATACGGGTGATGTACTCAAGGTACTCTCACCCACACACACACACACACACACACATACATGTGTGTGTGTGTGTGTGAAGTCATTTGAATTGTTTCTAGGTACAATCATCGCATGCAGTAAAAACTATGGCGTAAAGACCTATCCCCAATGCCAGTCCCCCAGTTATAGTAACTATGGTATGCTACCAACCGCACTCCTCTTACAAGGTTGATGACTAAGGAAACCCCCGCCT